ACCTCAAGACCCAGGTATACCCTATACCAAAGGAAACTCCATCCTACCACAGGACACTTACACAACTATATTCATAGCAACTTTATTCATAATGGCCAGAAAACTGGAAACCACCTAGATGCCCCTCAACCTAAAAATGGATATTTACACAATAGAGTATTATTCAGCTGTTAAAAGCAATGACATCAGGAAATTTGAAGGCAAATGGATGGAACTTGAAAGAATCTTCCTGAGTGAGGTAACCCAGACCCAGCAAGACAAATATGGTATGTGCTCACTTATAAGCTAATATTAGCTGTAAAGTAACAGTCCATTTCTTGAAGGATAAAATCACAAATAAATAGCTAAACTAAGAAAAGTTAAAGAAGACTCAAGTAAAGAGAAAGAAGAAATAAAGAATGTAAGAAGACAAGTGAAGGAGAAGAAACAGACACGGGTATAATATCTGCTCTTACTTTTTTTTATTTTGTGTGTATTATTGTTTGGTCTATAGGTACATCTGTATACCACATGCATGCACTGCCCACAGAGGCCAGAAGAGGGCACCAGATCCCTTGGTACTGGAGTTACAGATGGAGCGAGCCATGCTGTGGATACCCGGAATTGAACCTGGGTGCTCTGGAAGAGCAGCCGTGCTCTTTAACTACTGAGCCCTATCCCTGGCCCCAGTTTGCTTTCCTTTTACTGGTGGTTTGTAACTTCTCTGGCGTCCCACGGCAGCACCAACTGAAATCAACTGGAGGACCCTGCTAGGCCCACTGAGTGGCTTCTAGGCATATATATTGTGACAAAACTTTTATTTCCTTCAAGTAGCTGAACCTGGAAGCACCACCAAAAAGCTATTCTACACAATGGTTCTGCATAGGCGTGGCCCAGTGACCTTGCTCATCCCCTCCTGTCCCGTTTGTACTCCCCCACCCTGTACCATGTGCCACCAAAAGCTCTAGCAACAGTCAATAAATGCTCTGAACTTAGGCACTCCCCTTACCTACCTTGATCATATGCCTTGTATGAGAAACACACACTCGAATATCCTCTGGGACAGGCAGGACATGTAAGTTGAGTCCATTCTCAACTATGCAAAGATTCATCAGGAGCAATAAGCCAAGCCCATCCGAAGGTGGAATTCCCATTGACCCAAAAAATATGCAACATAAACATCTGAAATTAAAAACTAAAAATACCCAGCATCTATTTTCCAACAATTTAAGAAAATTACTACTTGTGAGTCATTCTGTAAAGAGCATACCCTATAAGAAGTGTCATTTATACAAGTCTTTACTGGTCGAAATAGGACGTAAGTTAGGCAGAGCACTGAGTTGACAGCCCCAGCATTGCAGTTTGGTCCTTTATTTTGAGCTCTCAGGAATCAGACAACCCCTGGCTAGCTGCCAGACACCCAGACTGTCACTTCTGAATGTTGCAGTCCACTGAAAACTCGCTAGGTCCCTGATGCTTCCAATTACAGATTAAGGAAATGCCAAGAACTAATTTGTTGTCTTTGGCAGGTCCTTATTTCGAATACAGTGAGAGTTCCATGTGAGGGTGTCTGGGAACAATGGGGAGTAATGTTTACTAACAAATCCTAAGACCTCAGTCCAGAGCAGAGTTGTGTTTAAATGTGTGATTAAAAAGCCTTTAATCCAGTAAATGCACTAGACAGTTGGCAAATCACAGAGTCTAGGTTAGTCTTCTCAATAGATTCGATAGGTAGAAGAAAAGCCACACATATTCGAAAATGCATTTAAGGGAGACTAACAAAGAGATGGAAATCCTGCAGAGTGTCTGTGTGTTCATTTCTACACTGACTCATTATCCATAGTACTGGAGGTAGCAATGGCTGTTTCAATCAGTAAACGCCTGCCCCATTGGTCCATTCTGAAAAGATCCAGGGAAGTGTCTCCTAAGAACTTAATTTGAGACATGAGGATATGGCTCCATGCATAAAGAACTTGCTACACACATGAGGACCTTAGTTCAGATGCCCTAAGCCCACATAAAAGACAGGTTTGTAACCTAGCACTGAGGGGACAGAATCAGGTGGATTCCAGGGGCTCACAGGGCAGCTGATGCCAACGAAATGGTGAACTCCAGGTTCAGTAAGAGTTTCTGTCTCGATGATGATGGTGTAGAGAAATGAATGAAAAACACTTTCTAAAGTCAACGTCTGACCTCTGCACTCTTCTGCACAGTTGGTTGCGTGCACGCGCGCACGCACGCGCGCGCGCACACACACACACACACGGCTTAATTTTGAATGTCAATTTAAAAGACAAAAAAAATTAGGAATGTTGATCATTGGTGGAACACTGCCAGCATGTGCGGGTCCCTGGGTCCCTCCACCATCCCATACTTCCTCAGTTAAGGCCCAAAGGCTTGAACATCCTAAAACACATCATAATGAACTCATGCACAGACGACAGCTGCAGAAACCACCGTGAACACAGAGGAGAAACTCAACCCCTTTGAATGCTGTCTCTCCCTGTTCTCTCACATGAGGCTCTCGGCCCCAGGCTCTTCGGCTTCTAAGTTCCATCAGGTCTCTTGCTCTTCACTTTGTTCCTTTCTTAATAAAACCTCCTTAGTCCAATTTATCAGAGTGGAAAGATTCCACTGCGTAATCTACAAAGGAAAAAAACCTCGCTTGCTTGCCAGCCCCTGCATTTGATTCCCAGAACCTGTTAAAAAAAAAAAAAAGGCTCACACACACACACACAAGTGATAAAGGTAACTTTCACCTAATTGAATAATGAACATACAATAAAAATCAGCTTAAGGAAAAGTTAATGAAGGAAGAAGGTTAGATAATGATTAAACATACCCAAGACTTAAAACACCGCCACAATGAGGGAGAACATTTCAAATATGGAAACTCAGTCCCTTGCATATAAAGCTAAGGAAGACTCACCAGCATTTACACCTTTTATAAAATTGTGATGACTTACACACATCAAGCTTACCATCATAATCACTTGGCATACACAGTTCAACAGGGCTGAGCACACTCTCGTTGTCTGTGCAACTGATCTACTGAGGCCCGGCCACATTTCAAGGCTCACGCTCTCCACCAACTCAACAGCTGCTGTGGCACTACCTCCCACCCCGCCCAGCCACTGGCAGCATCACCCCACTGTCTATGTCTATGAATTTGACTCCTCTAGGAACGTAATACAAGTGGAGTCAAACACTGGCAATCTTTTATATTTTCAATTTACACATGTTTATTTTGTATGTGTGTATGCCCTCCAGTGCTCACATCCTGCAGTGAATTCTGAAGGTCAGGTGACAACGTGCAGTAATCAATTCTTTCCTTCCACTTGGGTCCACGTACCAAATTTGAGTGGTCAGACTTGGCAGCAAGCACCCTTGCCTGCTGAGCCATCTCGTCAGCCCCATGGATAGTCTTTGTTTTTTGTCCTTTTGGTTTTTCTAGGCATTGTTTCTCTGTATAACCCTGACTATCCTGGAATTCAATCTGAAGACCAGGCTGGCCTCAAACTCACAGAGATCTCTGCTTCCCAAGTGCTGGCCTTAAAGGCTTGTGCCTCTACCGCCCAGAGTTGCTAGTCTTTTTAAGTGACACTTTTTTTTTTCTTTTGGTTTTTCAAAACAAGGTTTCTATATGGCTTTGGAGGCTGTCCTAGAACTAGCTCTTGTAGACCAGGCTGGCCTTGAACTCACAGAGATCCGCCTGCCTCTGCCTCCCGAGTGCTGGGATTAAAGGCGCGGGCTACCACCACCTGGCCTTAAAGCGACACTTTTAAACCAGAGGAATTAGTAGCCAGCCTAAAAGGAAATATCTACACCACAAAAATGATGGAACAACACAAAGCAGAAAATGAATGGGGAAGGTCCCAGAACTGAAGATGCTAAGACATGATGATCTTAGCCATATCATGAGTTATTAGAAATTAAGGTCCTCTTTTCTAAATATCCCTTAGACAAAAACAAAAAAAGCCTAAGCAAAGACTGGACAGGTTGGAATAATTCCAGATTTCCCCATGTGTAAGTGGCTCTTTTTTATATTAACAGTGGTCTCAGATTCCTCTTTTCCGGTGCCCTTCAAAGCAGAGGCAGGAGCAGTAAGCAATGCTTCCTCTCTGCTTCTGACGACTTGGTATCTTGCCATCGCTGTAAGATCAGAGCAGGGGTCTAAAGGTATCTCTCTGTTGGTAGCCTGCTTGCCTAGAGACCACAAAACCCTGGGCCTATAATTGCAGGCCTCCAGAGGGAGAGGCAGAGGATCAGAAAGGCAAGTGCTCCCTCGACGAGCCTGGACTACACAAGACCCTATCTCAAGGCGGGAAGTGGTGCAAGGAGGACCAGAGTTCAACCAGAAAGGCATGGATGAGGTATTAGTAGCCTCACCCTGGTCCCATGCTAGAACAATCTGAAACCTTGTTGGGTTAATATCTGCCTGAATGAGTATGTCCCTGAGAGCCAACAAACCTCTAGGGAAAGTATGTGATTGGCTTTTCTTATCAACTGTTAAAAAAAAGAAAGAAAGCATCAGTTCATCTTCAATTACCAAGAAATAACCAAATCAAAGAGGAGAGGGCCTCATTAAATGCAAAATCAAATCTGACGCTAACACTAATTTTGACTTTGATAACAATACAAACAAAAAGCTACATGTTGAGAAATGTTCCCTCTCATCTCTCCGAGGGTTTTAATTACTTTTGCTAGTCTGGGATACTCTCTGCCATTGGGAAATCGTGGAGCAAATTGAATGGAATTATATTTTCTGAAGGAATTACCAGTCATCAAAACCTCTCAAAGCTTAGGACAGTAATTCTGAAAAAAAAATGGCTCCACCTTATTTTTTCTGTCTGGCCCAGCCTCGTAAAAAGAGCCAGTAGAGTAGGTTCATGGAAAAGAAATTATCCAATTAGGGATTAAGAAAACTGTAACAGGGATTAGGAAATGACAGAGAAAAGGAACACCCTGCTGGTGTGGATATAAGGGCCAAAAGGCAGACTAGAACAGGCCATTCACTCCACCTCTTCCAGTCTCGGGAGACAGCTCAGCATCAGCAGGAGCAGCATGTTTTGCTCAGCTCAGAGAGGGTCCTGCTCCTCCCAAGTCTCCTCCTCCTCCTCCGGGGCCGTGGGCAGCAGGGTGTACGATGCTGGATACACCTTCAGCAGTGGAAGCAGCTGTGGGCTCGGGGGAGGGTCTTCCTGGGGCTTCCAGGGAAGCAGCAGCAGCTGTGGCCTGAGTGGGGTGTCTAAAGGTGGCTTTGGAAGTGGCATTGGAGGGGGCTTTGGTGGCTGCTCGGTAAGGGGCTCTGGCTTGGTTGGAGGTTCTGGCTTTGGTGGAGGTTCTGGCTTTCATGGGGGCTCTGGCTTGGTTGGAGGTTCTGGCTTTGGTGGAGGTTCTGGCTTTCATGGGGGCTCTGGCTTTGGTGGAGGCTCTAGCTTTGGTGGAGGTTCTGGCTTTGGTGGGAACTCTAGTGCAGGCTTCTCTAGCTATGGAGGTAGTTTGGGAGGTGGCCTTGGTGGCATCGGTGGCAGTGAGGGGGGCCTTCTCTCTGGAAGTGAAAAGCAAACCATGCAGAACCTCAATGACCGTCTGGCCACCTACCTAGACAAGGTGCGAGCCCTGGAGGAGGCCAACACTGACCTGGAGACTAAAATCAAGGAGTGGTACGACAAGCATGGGTCTGGAAAAGGTGAATCTGGAAGAGACTACAGCAAATACTGGCCGATCATAGAAGATCTGAAGAACCAGGTGGGACTCCGTGGCTGTTCTCCTACAGCATGTCTTTCACTCAGATCATATACTAAGATGAATTTCTTTTTACATTTGTGTGTGTGTGTGTGTGAGAGAGAGTGTGTGAGTGTGTGTGTGAGAGAGTGAGAGAGTGTGTGAGAGAGTGTGTGAGTGTGTGTGAGAGAGTGTGTGTGTGAGAGAGAGAGTGTGTGTGTGAGTGTGTGTGTGAGTGTGTGTGTGAGAGAGAGTGTGTGTGAGTGTATGTGTGAGAAAGAGAAAGAGTGTGTGTGAGTGTGTGTGTGTGAGAGTGTGTGTGTGTGTGTGTGAGAGAGAGTGTGTGTGTGTGCATGTTTGTGTGCACTTGTGTGTACAGAAGGGGCATGTATGCCTTTGCACAAGTGTGGAAGTCAGTGGACAACTTATAAGAGTTGCTTTCTCCTTCTACCATGTGAGTCCCAGGGATCAAATTCAGCTCATCAGACATGGCAGCAAGTGCCTTCACCTGCTGAGCCATCTCGGGGGCCCATAATGAGATGCTAAATCAATGAATTATTCATGTGTGCACAATGGGACATCCTTATATCTTGATTATAGCAATCCTGCTTATGACAGACGCCAATAGTACTCTGTCTGAATATCAGATTTGAGTATGGAATTCCTACAATGATGGATAGCCACCTGACAGGTATATAAGAGTAATGGTACCAAATGGTTAATTAGGGTGACCTAATTACTTCATGACTCATTCTGACGGGTTAGTGCATTTTTGTGTCTTTCCGGATTCATCTTTAGGACTATTATTCTTATAGAATCTGGTGATGTATGAGTCGCATATTTTAAGTGAAATTAAGTGTTTAACACTAATTTCTTCAATCGGTGAGGAAATGATTGATCTTCTCAACAGGAGAAATAGACAAAGGACAGTTTTCTATAGAACAGTGTCCTGTGTCTACCCCAAAAACTATGCAAGATGTTTCCTGTAAGAGGCACATGGTGCTAAGTGTACATGTGCCACTGCGAAGGAAGTTTGCAGGCCAACCCACCTTTAATGACATAAGAGCATACGAGACGTCTACTGTCACAGGTAGGTGTCAAAAGCAAGAGAAGAATCAGCTAGGATTTGGTCTTCCCTCTTTCGTAGGTCATTTCAGCCACCACTGAAAATGCCAGGATGTCTCTGCAGATCGACAATGCTAGACTGGCTGTTGATGACTTCAGGGTGAAGTAAGAAGCAGGAAGAATTTGAAAACAAGTGCCATAGGGAGTAAAACAACACACTTGCTGAGGGGAAAAAAACCCTTTGGGGGATCATGACCTAAATTCCCAAATAGACCAGGGGCGAACTTGGATGGTTATCTTTTACTGTTTTACTATTTGTTTGGTTTGGAGGAGGGTTTGTTGTATTTGTTTTCTTTTCTTTTCTTTTTAGACAGAGACTGTTGTAGCCCAGAATGGAGTCAAACTCTCTGTGGAATGGAGGCTGGCCTTGAACTCTTCATCTTCCTGCCTCTAGCTCCCGACTGCTATGGTCCAAGAGTGCACTCCCATCCATGGCTCTCAGGAGTAAACTATGGAGACTATTGTTGAAAGAGAAGGGAGGGAAGGGGAGGGGAGGAGAGGGGAGGGGAGGGGAGGAAGGGAAGGGAAGGGAAGGGGAGGGGAGGGAAGGGAAAGTAAAATAGAGCAGGAGAGAGGGAGGAAGTGGGGAGGGGAGAGAGGAAATTAAAGTTGAAAATTATTAGAAAAATATTGTACATGACTAGAATTAATATTAGAAATTATTTTTATTTATGAGATTAAAAATCATCAAAGAAACCTCAGTTAATTTTATTTATCAAAATAGTCAGGGGGGAGCAAGGCGTTGATGGCGCACGCCTTTAATCCCAGCACTTGGGAGGCAGAGGCAGGCAGACCTCTGTGAGTTCGAGGCCAGACTGGTCTACAATGTGAATTCCAGGACAGCCGGAGCTGTAACACAGAGAACCCCTTCTTGAAAAAAAATAGTCAGGGGATGACTGTGGGTGTGTAGTTCAACGGTTAGAAAATTTTCCTGCAAAAGCCAAAGGACCTGGGCTCCACACAGAAGGAAAAATGAAAAACAGTGCTCCACAGTCAGAACTGTTTCCAGGGGTGAGAAAGAGGGGTACTCTGGGGCTGGAGAGATGGCTCAACAGTTAAGAGCCCTGGCTGCTCCTCCAGAGGACTGTGTTCAGTTCCCAGCACCTACATGGCAGCTCGCATCTGTAACTGCAGGGCCAGGGCTTCTGACAGCCTCACTCATGCAGGAAAAACACCAGTCACATAAAATAAACTGAGAGAGTCCCTCACCTGCCTTCCTGCTGTCCCTTCCAGGTACGAGCATGAGCTGTGCCTCCGGGAGAGCATAGAGGCCGATATCAATGGCCTTAGGAAGGTGCTGGATGACCTTACCATGACTCGCTCTGACCTGGAGATGCAGATCGAGTATTACACCAAAGAGCTGGTCCTCCTCAGGAAGAACCACGAGGAGGTAGGAACGGGCTCTGAATGCATGAACAGCTCGGCTGTCCATGTTTTATATAGCATCTAATCTACAAAAGTAAACTCAGTTTTACTAAACGAACTCCCCACACACCCGTTGGCCAGAGAGCATGCTGCATCTTGAAGTTCCTCCGGGGTGTCACGGTTTCAAATGTTTACAATGACACATGCATTAGAAACTGGCAGCCCACCATTCGCAGCAACGTGACGCCTTTTTTAAACATCTCTTTATATACTAGGAAATGAAATGCATGCAGGGAAGCTCTGGAGGGGATGTGACAGTAGAAATGAATGCTGCCCCAGGAACCGACCTGACCAAACTCCTGAATGACATGAGGGCACAGTACGAGGCGCTGGCCGAGCAGAACCGCCAGGAAGCCGAGAAACAGTTCAATGAGCGGGTATGGTGTTGCACTGAGCACCTCAACCTGTAGCCCTGCTTAAGCTGCCACCTCTGCTGCTGCAGCCTATGACAACTTACTTCATTTCCATCTAGAGTGCATCCCTGCAAGCCCAAATCTCAACAGATGCAGGGGAAGCCAATTCTGCCAAGAATGAGGTAATGGAACTGAGGCGTTCCGTGCAAGCCCTGGAAATCGAGCTTCAAACCCAGCTGGCCCTGGTATGTACATATTGATAATTTGTTAGTTAGTTTGTTTTAACCCTCCAACAAAGAGTTAAGCAAATGAGTTGTCCTCCTTCACCAGATGCCCACTAACCCATAAACACAGAAAAGGAAAAACTGTTTAGTCTACTGTAGAGCATAAAGAGGCAAGCATGCTGCTCTCTGGGGCTGGGGAGATGGCTCCATGTGGAAAGTACTTGCTGTGCAAGCATGAGGACCAGAGTTCAGATCCCCAGCACCCATTTGAAAACTTGGAGAGGAGGGTGTGCATGGAAACAGATAAATCCCTGACTAACCTAGCCAAATCGGTGAGTTCCAGTTTCAGTGAGAGACTCTGTCTTGAAATGTCTAAGGCAAAAGAGGAAGATATATATGTATCAACTCCCAGCTACAAACGCACACACACACACCCCTCTCTAGTGCCAAAGAAAGTTAAAGAAGCAAGACAAGATAATATAGATTGTACCCGTAGCAGATGAAAGAATACTCTGACTCATACAAAATCGGACGTTTTTCCAAACCATCCCCTGACTTATTTTCAACGTGAATGTTTATTTTCTCTTTGTCTTAGAAATGTTCTCTGGAAGGGACCCTGGCTGACACAGAAGCTGGCTACATGTCTCGACTGTCTGGAATCCAGACACAGATCAGCAGCCTGGAGGAGCAGCTCAGCCAGATTCGCGGTGAGACACAATGCCAGAATGCAGAGTACGAATGCCTGCTGAACATCAAGACACGCCTGGAGGAGGAGATCGAGACCTACCGTCGCCTGCTCAATGGAGAGGGAGGGTGAGTGAAAAGTCGCTGAGATGCGTGAGGTGGGCTTGCGAAATCAAAGACGGAGCGGGCAGGGTCAGACATGGACTTATAAAGTAGTAAGGTAATAGACATAGCCCAATCAGAACACACCCAGGCCTGGGCGGGGCTGGAGGATTTCTCCCACCTTAGATTCTTTCCTCTTGCCTCCAGTGGATGTGATTATAGAAACTTAGTATCCAGACATGTGGCGTTGGATGACTCAAGATCCGGGAGCTGTTCTGGCCAAGGAAAAGGTAGACATGACAATGTTACCATCTCAAAGTGTTTCTATAATGGATTGCTGTTGAAGAGTATTTTGCAATGAAAAGCGGATTTTGTCTGTTGTATCTTACTGTTGGGCCGGGGAAATGGCTCAGTCAGAAGAACTTACCTTACAAGTTAAAAGAACCTTAGTTCAACACCAGAACCCCTGGGGAGGGGCAGGGGACCACGGCCAGGCATAGTGTCACTGATTTATGGACTTGTAATTCCAAGGCTGGGGAAGGTAAAGACAGGTAGATTGCTGGAGCTTTCGGATTGACCAGCTCATTTGGCAAGTTCCAGGCTACTGAGAGACCTTGACTCAGGAAAAAAAAAAGGTGGGCGTTGCTTGGGAAACCATAGCTGAGGTTGTCCTCTGACTTCCATGTGCACACATACACATGCATGTGTACCCACCTTCACGCGCGCACGCGTGCGCGCGCACATACACACTAAATAAATGTTAAAATGTACACAGCTGCTGACAATATCTATGCGGAGAGAGCACAGTCAGCAAGTACTGAGTTCCTCCTGCTCTGGGCCTCAGTGACCATTTTCAGACTGATCTCATGGTCCCGTGATTTTCAGATCCCAGCAAGACAAGAGTGACGAAGACCATCATAGAGGAGGTGGTAGATGGCGTAGTTGTCTCCTCTCAAGTCAGCAACATTTCTGAAGTGAGAATAAAATAAGCAGTTTCCAGACCAGCAGGGGCGTCTGTCAAAGGAAACCACTGAGAGGGGAGGCACTGAAGAGCTATACCATCCTGACGCACTCCCGAGAAAACCTGCCGTCCAAAATTAGCTCACCAGCCCATTTCCTGCATCCCCTTATTTCCTTTAAAAAGTAGAAAGGAGAAATTGGCTCCGACTAGTCCTGTGCTTCAATAAATTTACTTCTACAAGCTAACAAAGTCATTCCTGGATACTTATTTTCCTAAGAAATGTAATATTTTACTCAGGGATTGACAGCTCATTGTTGTGTCGTTAATTCTGGCCCATTATTTATTTGGTGACTTCCTTATTAAGTGAAGATATCAGCCATTTAGCATGTGGGTTTTAACATCGCACAAGACAAGAATGGTGCCACAGCTGAAAGTAGACCTCAGGGTCCCTAGCACTGTAGCCAACAGTCTAGCTCATCAGACAAGGGTTAAATTATTAGAATGATCCACTTTTAATTCATCTATGCCTGCTTCTTTATGTCAGTCACTGAACAAGTGTTTCATACATTTAGAGAAAACGCACAAGCTATGCCATGTACCTAAGCCGGCTCACAGCGGGCCGGGCCTGTTCACAGCTGTAATCTCGGCACTTGGGAGTCTGGAGTAAATGAGGTTCCAGGTGAACATTGGCTACACATTGAATTCCAGACTAGCCAAGGCTACAGAGTGAGGCCTTGTCTGAACAGTACAAAGTTCACATTGTCAGTGAGTAAGGAAACTAAACATGAAGCAGGGTCTAAAGGGTACTCATTGTGAAGGACTTCAGCCCGATACGGTGGCACACACCTGTAAATTCCAGCACTTGGGAAGCAGAGGCAGGAAGATCAGGAACTCAATGTCATTCTCAACTGCACAGCAAGCTTGAGGCTAGTCTGAGCTACATGAAACCCTGTTTCAAAAAAAAAAAAGGATTAATGTAGGACTTGATTGCACAGTATTTGCCAAACACATCAGAGAAATGAGACATTGTATGTTTGGAGACATTAAGAGATGACCAAATAAAGACCATAGGAAAAGATGGCTGCACATGTGATGTGGGATCTGATTTGTTAGCACTTGAAAAGCCCCAAAGAGAAGAAATGCTTGGAGCTTGTTCCTTTGCTAGTTATATTCAGAACTCTGGTATTGGTTTTCCCCACTGTGCACATTGGAGACCTGCTACCCCACAGGTAGTGGAGGCCCTGTTCCTTCATTTACAAGGTATCTCCGAAGGTTCAGAACTCTGTCTTGGTGATGACAGTCAAAGAGTTCTGGTTGGATGGTCCAAGCCCCAGGAAGAACCAGGCTGAAGATCTAGCCAGGCTGGGAAACAGTACTTCACACAAAAAGTTTCCTATTGACCACATCACAAGTCGGAGAGCCAACTCCATAAGCCAGTCTTTGAGGGGAAAAAATTCACAAAGTGTGACACAGAGAGCCAAATTTAAAGTTATAAAGCAATGAACCTCGGCTGCAGCCACAGCTCAGCAGGCGAAATGACCCGAGTACAGTCCCTAGAGTTCACAGTTTTGAAAGCCAGGCATGGTGTGTGGACTTGTAATTCCAGCACTAGGAAGGCAGAGACAGGCAGAGGGATCCTTGACCCTCCCTGGCTAGCCAGTCTAGACTAACCAACAATCTCCAGGCCAGTGAAGAGACCCTGCACCCACACATACACATACGCACACACACAAATGAACCCGAACTTAATTCACAAAACCTATAACTTCAAGTATAAAACCAGTATGAATTATATAATATCAACCTTAATCATGAAAATGTAGGAGTTCATAATGTAAGCACCCTGAAGAAAGCATTAAAAATGAACATCCTGGCTAGAGAGACGGCTCAGATGCTAAGAGCACGTACTATTCTTACAGAGAAACTGAGTTCATTTCCCAGCACCCACGTCAGGTGTCTCACAACCACTGTAACTCCAACTCCACGGGATCTGATGCCTTTGCCCTCCATAGGCACCTTACATTCATATACAGACAGCCACACATATGTGGACATAATCAGAATACAATAAAAATAAATCTTTTAAAAAAATGAATGTCAGTGAATTCCTCCTTTGGAGTACCTCCTACTCTAGTGATCCTCTTCACTTTTCTTTAATAAATCTGGTTTCTGTGCTTAAAAATAAAAACGCCTGGGTACCTATAACTTTTTCAGTCGTCACCCACCCCAGAACAAAGTGAGACGACTTAAGCATAAGATCACGGCATGAGAAGAAGGTGCAGCGTTGTAAGAGGCAAAGGCGTTTCTCATCTCCTCCATACAGTAAAGAAAACACAGGAGAGTTCTACTCAAAGATTAAGAACAGCAGAAGTAAAAGCTTGGCCCAAATGATGAAGCCTTGACGTTTCCAGGCGTGGAGGTGTGTTCTGTGCAGCAGCATCCAGCCACCCCAAGTCAGCCATTGGCCAGGAGTCTTCCCAGAGCTACTTTTCTAACTGTGGGTCCTGACTATCTAGACCTATGTTCATGGCTGATGTGGCCCAGATGTGGTCTCCAGCACCCTTCAACCCTTGTATCAAAGCAAACGATAAACCTGCCCAGAAAATTCCCTGGAGCTGAGAGCCCTGGCTGCCTTGGCCAGTGTTAACACGATGTGTTATTATGAAAGGGTTGCTTACACAAGGAAAGTCAGCTGCCTGTACCAAGTGACAGTGCTGCAATAGAACCTGTCGCTTAGTGTTCTTAATAATAAACTACTGAATCCCATTGGATCATGAAATTTACTTAGAGGGCTGAAAAACAAAACATTAAGAACTTAATATTTGAGCCGGGCGGTGGTGGCATACGCCTTTAAGCCCAGCATAGGCAGAGGGAGAGGCTGGCAGATCTCTGTGAGTTCAAGGCCAGCCTGGTCTACAGAGCTAGTTCCAGGACAACTAGGGCTACAACAGAGAAACCCTGTCTCAAAAAAACAAAAACAAAATAGAACTTAGTGTTTGCACATTATTCACTGTCCAAAAATTATGTTCGTGCTACCCAGCAGGAAAGGGTTTGTCTGGGAACTCTACGGTTCAGCTCTCTATTGGCTTTTAGGGGAGTGGAGCTTCCCCTGGGTGGACTTGCCCCCGAGGAAGAGCCTCGGCTAGAAGCACATGGATTTCTGCCAACTTCTGATCCAGAGATTCACAGAGCTGTTCTCCTCTTTGTGATCTTAAGGGGACAGAAAGGACGAGACTGTTTGACGTGTCATCTGTCGTCGCAGAGATTACAGGCGAGGTGCATGGCAGCCAGCTGGAAGGTGCTAAAGGACTCCAGGCGCTGAGGAACAAGGCCAGACTTGCCCGGTGACTTCATGGAATCAGCAGGTAGTTCAAACAAGAGGAGACAAAGGGAAGGACGTAAATCATCTGCGATGTGGCTCAAGCAATGTTGCCCAAGCCACCTCCCAGAGTAACAAAAGGCCACAAATAAGAAATCGCTTTGAATTATTATCTCTAAGTCCAATGTGACATTGAATAACAGAAAAAGAGCAAAAGGTCAAAACCTTCTGAAAGGAATTTACTCATCTGTAACATCAAGCCTTACCTGAAATGGTGAAGACTAGAGGAAATGCTAAAAGGATGCTTCGACCACCCTTTTAAGTCGCTTAGACTTTTTTCTCTATTGTATATGTGTTGGTGCCCGTGCGCAGGTGTGTGCAACTGAGTGAAGGTGCTAAAGAAACCAGAGGTACTCAACCCCTGGAGCTAGAGCTACCAGGTAGGTGCTGGGAATCAAACTTGTGTCCTCCTCGGGAGCAGCAAGCATTCCCAACTGCTGAGCCATCTCCAGGCCCAATCACCATACTTTAAAAAAAAAAAAAAAGCAGTTAATAGCATAGGAGAAGGCATCCTAGCATTCCAAGCTTGGGGAGGTAGTAAAGAGGGCACGATCTAATGTTATTTTTCCAAAGTGGAGGCATGGAGAGTTCATAGCAAAACTGCCATGAAATGTGTATCACTTAGCTCCAGCTGGGCAGTGCTAAGGTTTAAGCATTCCCCCAAAGGTCATGTGTCAAAAGCCTCATTGCTTGTAGGTATCTGTAAATAAATTGTTTCAAATGATTTTTTGTTACTTGTCCTAAGAATAAAAAATATACAATAATAAAAAAAAAAACCTAGGAGTTGGGGGTGTGGTTCGGTGATTGCACAACATGTGTGCAATCCTGGGTTCCATCCTTAGCACCATGTAGAACTGGGCATGATGGCCCATAGGCCTGCCTGGGATACACAGTCCTCTGGTAGAAAGAAAAGAAGATAGGGAGAAGAAAGAAAGAAAGAAAGAAAGAAAGAGAGAGAGAGGGGGGAGGGAGGGAGGAAGGAAGGAAGGGAGGAAGGAAGGAAGGAAGGAAGGAAGGGAGGAAGGAAGGAAGGAAGGAAGGAAGGAAGGAAGGGAGGGAGGAGGGAGGAGGGAGAAAGGAAGACGGGGAGAAAGGTTGGGGTTTTTGATTTGTTTCATTTTGTTTTGTTTTAGTCTTTCTGTTGGTTTTAATGCAAATGAGGGTTTTGCTACATCTTGTCGAGATGAGGTAATTTTTTCTTTCCCCAACGGGTACTTCACACCCAGAACTTTCCATGAAGTTCTGATATCTATGCTCTTCATTTCTCGCACAATCATGACAATATAAAAATCAAAGAATTTTAATGAGTCGGGTGGGGACTCTTATTCTCACCTCTCATTCAGAACAGAAGTTTCTCCTGGAAGATTATTCTAATCTAGATTATTCCGTAAGGCCAAGGTGCCTAGAGCTCGGAAACTTCCTCACTTGGCAAAGCAGCACAATCAGTTTAAAACAAGTGCTGTACTGGAAATGTTCCCTTGTATCGGCCAAGTCCGTCTTCTTGTGAACTTCCTGCTCTTTGATCCTGACCCTGGCTTCTGACAATGTTTAAAAACAGCCACTGTGTCATCTCCGTTCTAGACAAAGATCTTAGTTTCTTTAGCTGTGTCTTATCTGACTCAGAGTCTTCATCATCAAGGTCACAAAATTTGAATACAATGATCATTTTCCCATTAAAATTCCCTTCAGTAAGTATATGACGGTGGTACAAGGCTATGATCCTAGCCCATGGGAGGTGCTGAAAGGAGAATCAGTTTAACATCATCTTTAACTACATAGGAGTTCAAGACCAACCTGGGCCACATAAGACCAAAAAATAAAATAAAATGATGTCTGTGGCTCGTGTCACCTGGGGGTTGGGAGGGC